AAGGTTTCGGTCGCCTCTGTCTGCTCCAGACCTGACAGCTGAAGGAGATGATGTTTAGTTTTTAGTTATACATGTAGTAGAGTTTTTACGGCGTTCACAATTGCATAAGGTCATATGAGCGCCAAAGAGTGGATGTCAGCAGAGAAGTCCTTACAGGGAATCAGGATTAGTATGCTCACCTTTCTAGTTTCAACAGCACAAAGTCTGCATCGACTTTCGACTATCAAGGCACCCCGGAAATAGCGGATCACAAGAGTATGACAATCATACAAAAGAAGTAGATGAAAAATGACGGCAGTAAGTTGTAAGGATTAGGAAAGAAAAAGCAGCAGTTCTCAGTTGCAGTTCAGGCACAGTTTTATGAGCATGACATTGTTAAATGAGCACATTTACAATTCTACTGCACTTAAGAACATGGTAATACCCGCCATTTGGGAATGGTCTACAGATGGTTTGGTTCTTTTTTTTTTCCTTTTTTTTTCTTTTTTTTGTTTTGGGGTGTGTGTGTTGGTTTGTTTGTTTTTTTTTGTTGTTTTTTTTTGGGGGGGGGCGGGGGGGGCGGGGGGCGCCCTGGTGGGTGAAGAAGCTGTGCAGTGAGCGTGGTGCCTGTCTTTCCCACATGGAGTTCCCGCGTTTCTTGCTGCTCCCCCAAACACTTGACTTTCTCTCTCTCCCTGCTTACTGTTTACCCTCCCTCTCTAGTCTCCCTCGTTATCCTAGCACCTGCGTTTGTTGCCATTTTTTTCTCTAAAAGTTGCCACAAAAATGGCAAAAGTTACCATTAATTTTCAAGCTCTCAACTCTCTCTCATGACGCATAGCAATACGTTGATACTTAATCTACAACATCAGAATTTTTTGTATTCTGTTTTAAGCATCCAGAATATCATTTGTAGCCACACAGAGCGTAAAAACGTGAAAAATAAAGGTTTCACAACAAAATGAAATCAAAATTAGAACAGCTCATAAACAACCACAAATTAAACCCTAAGTTTTTTTTTCATCTTTTCCCGGAGATTTTTGTCTCCAGTCACCAAACCTGATGCACTCCGTCTCATTATAACCCCAACAGCTTGCCACCATCCCATCTAGTAAATGGCGGAAACAAAGGCTTAGTCATAGTCATAACTAAAAAACTTGGTTCGTGAATAGTTCCGAAATTTAAAAAAATACTAGCACTAAATAACAATAAAACAAAACAGTTGTCGCTAGTACTGGACGCTTGCAGCGTACTATTGGGAACAGTTATTACCGCCGGACATTCCCGGTGCCCGATGGGGTTCAAAGAGTTAAAAAGAGTAGGAACAACATCAAATTAAATTACATTTACGCTATATATATAAACACACACAAAAAGAAAAAACCCACATCAGAACAATAACAAGAAAACAATTCACACACCAACAACGTAAAACACAACCAAAGAGGGAACAATAACAGAGAAAAAGCAATAGAGAAATCTAAAAGGATGTAATGTGGAAACATTTTTTACAAAATACGAAACCAACGTGGTGGCAACAAGTGAGAAAGCGACAAAGTGAAGTGGGAGTGAAAATAAACTTTCTTTCTAAAAGCAAACAGGTTCGATTTCTTTCTTTTTTTCGATATTTATTCCCCTTTTTCGATATTTATTCCCCTTTTTCGATATTTATTCCCCTTTTTCGATATTTATTCCCCTTTTTCGATATTTATTCCCCTTTTTCGATATTTATTCCCCTTTTTCGATTGTTTTCCCTAGGCGGGGTTATCGTTTACAGTGGAATCCTGTTATAACGAGAGGGAGGGGACCGGTGCGAAATGTCCGTTATAGCAGGATTCTCGTTACAAGGGATCCAGTAATACATTCAAGGGAAATAGTAAAGTAGGCCTAATCTATGAGTTTGGCGTTCTGTTTATTCCTTTTTGTATTTCCCCTGATGATGATTTGTTCAACATGATCTCTAGTTCTTACTTGATGAAAAATCGAATTAGGTTTCTTTCTCTAGCACTAGCAATGTTGACAGCTCGGCGTTGGCGATCAGAAAGAAGGGCCCTGGCTCTAGGCTAACTCGCCCGCTGTGTTGTCCCTCACCCCACCCCACCCCACCACACCCTGTTGTGCGTTGCGTCTGCTTGCGCACGTCACATATTCACCCCAACTATCACAGCATTGTGACCTCTCCATCCCCCACTAGAGAAGTGAGAGGCACGGTATGCCTAAATCATCTAGACTGGGCTGGCCTATCACGCGATGCGTTCTGCTTGTCTGCGCATGCCACACCCTCCCCACCCATTCGCTCCAGCCTTCATTGTTGGTTCGCGTGGGTTCTCCCATTCTTTGTTTCGCACGATCACCAACAACTTTCTCAACTGGCAAGGTTTTATAATATGTTTAATTGGTCTATGCGCTGTGCATACAGCAGCAATATTCCGATATAACCGACTCGCGTGACTGTATGATTGCGCAATAGCAGTATTTTATTTATAAAGATAAAGAAGGACAAAAAACGGGGTTTTAGAATAGTGTCTTTATAACAGACTTCTCGTTGTTTCAGGACTCGTTATAAGTGGACTCCACTGTATTTGTTTTTGCTTTGTTTCGTTGTTGTTTTTTGGGGGGTTTTCTTTATAGCAAAAGTCGCGGCGGCGATTCGCGGACGCTGATGCTAGGTTACCCTTCCACTACCACACCGTCCTCCCCGCCCCAGCAAACAGCGCAGAAAGGAAGAGAAAGATCACACAAACGATGGATTGAGGAGGTCAAGGAAACCCTGAGAAATTATAACATCCCAATTGAAAAAGCTGCAGGATCTGGCCTGCCATAGAAATCTGTGTCTGCCCTTGCCGTGACACCGAAGGATGGACCAGTGATGTCAACAAAGTACACACACACACACACACACACACACACACACACACACACACACACACACACACACACACACATACATACGCATACACACACAGAGACACATATACACACACAGACACACACACACAGACACACAGACACACAGACACACAGACACACACACACACACACACACACACACACACACACACCTAGTAGTGAGTTCTCTGTACACCTAGTCTCCCCACTCTGTACACCCAGTCTCCCCACTCTGTACACCCAGTCTCCCCACTCTGTACACCTAGTAGTGAGTTCTCTGTACACCTAGTACATGTAGTGAGTTCTCTGTACACCTAGTACATGCAGTGAGTTCTCTGTACACCTAGCAGTGAGTTCTCTGTACACCTAGTAGTTAGTTCTCTGTACACCTAGTACATGCAGTGAGTTCTCTGTACACCTAGTAGTGAGTTCTCTGTACACCTATTACATGTAGTGAGTTCTCTGTACACCTAGTAGTGAGTTCTCTGTACACCTAGTACATGTAGTTAGTTCTCTGTACACCTAGTAGTGAGTTCTCTGTACACCTAGTAGTTAGTTCTCTGTACACCTAGTACATGTAGTTAGTTCTCTGTACACCTAGTAGTTAGTTCTCTGTACACCTAGTACATGTAGTTAGTTCTCTGTACACCTAGTAGTGAGTTCTCTGTACACCTAGTACATGTAGTTAGTTCTCTGTACACCTAGTAGTGAGTTCTCTGTACACCTAGTAGTTAGTTCTCTGTACACCTAGTAGTGAGTTCTCTGTACACCTAGTACATGTAGTTAGTTCTCTGTACACCTAGTAGTGAGTTCTCTGTACACCTAGTAGTTAGTTCTCTGTACACCTAGTACATGTAGTGAGTTCTCTGTACACCTAGAACATGTAGTTAGTTCTCTGTACACCTAGTAGTTAGTTCTCTGTACACCTAGTACATGTAGTGAGTTCTCTGTACACCTAGTACATGTAGTTAGTTCTCTGTACACCTAGTACATGTAGTGAGTTCTCTGTACACCTAGTAGTGAGTTCTCTGTACACCTAGTACATGTAGTGAGTTCTCTGTACACCTAGTAGTGAGTTCTCTGTACATCTAGTAGTGAGTTCTCTGTACATCTAGTAGTGAGTTCTCTGTACACCTAGTAGTGAGTTCTCTGTACACCTAGTACATGTAGTTAGTTCTCTGTACACCTAGTAGTTAGTTCTCTGTACACCTAGTACATGTAGTGAGTTCTCTGTACACCTAGTAGTGAGTTCTCTGTACACCTAGTAGTTAATTCTCTGTACAACTAGTACATGTAGTGAGTTCTCTGTACACCTAGTACATGTAGTGAGTTCTCTGTACACCTAGTAGTGAGTTCTCTGTACATCTAGTAGTGAGTTCTCTGTACATCTAGTAGTGAGTTCTCTGTACACCTAGTAGTGAGTTCTCTGTACACCTAGTAGTGAGTTCTCTGTACACCTAGTACATGTAGTGAGTTCTCTGTACACCTAGTAGTGAGTTCTCTGTACATCTAGTAGTAGACTACGGTCTCCCCACGTAGTAGGTTCTCAGCACACACCTGTGAGTGACCTAGATTCTAGTCTCCCTCTGTCCTGGGACCAGCACACTGTGGTGGTGTGGCCGGAAGATCCAACGCCCGAGCCGCACGTAGTTGACCGGAGTTCAATTCTCGCATGGAACGTAAGTTTCTGTTTGACTGATTTCCTGTCTGTGTCTAGCAAACGGCCGTGTCCCTCTCTCCCAGGTTGCCGTGGCAGACACGCTCAGAAGCCCGCCTCCTAAATGACCTACATTCAATGTGTAAGTGGACGCGGGCGTAAAGCACCTACATTGAACAAACCAACAAAACAACTTTCTACATGTAGACTACTGTTGTGTAATGCAAATGTATCTCAGTAAATGATTATTTCCTTTTTTCTCCCCACCCCCAAACCAGAGGTGACAGCGTCAAGAAAAACTGACGTCACCACCGACATCCTGAGTCAGCAACACCGACTGGCGACACAACTCTTCCCACCCCTCACAGTCGGACCTGCCCCTCCCTCCCTCAGACTCCCTCCCACCCCCTCCCTCAGCCTCCCTCCCTCCCACCCCCTCCCTCAGCCTCCCTCCCTCCCCCCCCCCCTCCGCCTCATGCCCCCGCCCCCCTCCACGAGCACTCGCCCATCACGACCCACATTTCTGGATGACCGGCGCCGACAGAGGCACAATACCCCCCGTCGTCTCGCTGCATAGGCCTTCGGGCTTCCAAAAACGAACGCTGAATATTCATGAGGACATTCTCAGCGGCTTCAGAGTTTTGCAACTAATCAACAGCCCCGGTTCGCACGGTGTCTAGATTGTATTCAAATCGTTCTAAAAAGTGCAAGTTATCCAGAGGTGGGCGTGTTTTCTCCACTGGCGAGGGCCTGTCGCCACAGAGCTGTGCCTGGCCACAGCAGGAAAAAAGTGGACATTGAGTGGGCAACCGTCCGCGCTATGACGAGAAAACACGTGTGCTCGTCCAACCGCCTTCGTGACGTCACACACGTGGGTGTGTGGCTCAAGTGGGAGTACAGTGAAATGACTGTCACAACGCCGTCCGATCTCGCCATGTTGATGTTATGTAACAGTAGTAGATCTAATTGGACAAAACTGTGCTAGATCGAGCTGTCTTTGATTGGTACATTGTGCTTTGTCATTCGCTGCATTTGATTTGTGATTCCCTTTATTTGATTTGTGATTCGCTGCATTTGATTTGTGATTCCCTTTATTTGATTTGTGATTCGCTTTATTTAATTTGTGATTCGCTTTAGTTGATTTGTGATTGGCTTTGAATTGGAACTAATTGCTTTTTGCTCATCAATGTCTGGAGCTGGGAATTTTCTGACCAAGAGAATAGAATTCTTTTCGACACCAGGGTTGGGATTTTTTAAGAGCTAAGTTTAGAATTCTTTTACATGCCGAGCTAAGAATTCTTTTCACACCAGGTCTACAACTCTTTTAGATACACCAAGTTTAGAACTTTTTGAGACGCCAAATTGAGAACTTTTCAAAGGCTAAATTTATAATTTATTCTGACTCCAATTCTAGAACTATTTTAGACGCCAAGTTTAGAACTCTCTTCACCAAGTTTAGAACTCTCTTCACCAAGTTTAGAACTCTCTTCACGAAGTTTAGAACTCTCTTCACCAAGTTTAGAACTCTCTTCACCAAGTTTAGAACTCTCTTCAACAAGTTTAGAACTCTCTTCACCAAGTTTAGAACTCTCTTCAACAAGTTTAGAACTCTCTTCAACAAGTTTAGAATTCTTTTACTTTTAGCCACTGAGATTAGAATTCTTTTGGACAGTAAGTTTCGAACTCTCTTACTTTACCTGTAAGTTTCGAATCCATTTCGCCCCCAAGTTTGCGCGGAGCACGGTGCAGGGAGGCCGACAGTGTAAGACAGGCCAGGTGGGACCGCCACACATCGTCCGACCTGGGTTGTCCAACCTCCCATCTGGAGGACGTGCGGGCGAGAAGATTCCTGACATGTGAGTCTGCCCAATGCATGCCATCTTTTTCCCCACTCAATCTGACGCAGAACTTTTGGTTTCCATTTCCAATCCCACAATCCACTCTTAATAGTGGTGCCTTTGTGTGGCCAAGCTTCGGGACACGTTGGGACACTTTTGTAAAATTGCCTGTTAGTTTTTGGAGTTTTCTAGAGCCCTTCTCGGAATCCTCCAGTCAGGGAGTGAGAAAAGTTGAGCTCAGTTCTGTCCCTTGAAATGGCGGAGAAAGAATCTGGGTTTGCCAAAGAGGACCATCCTCCACCAGGCTACCCAGGGTCCGGGTTCGGATCTGTGGAGAAGGAGTGCGCGTTGGCCTGTTCGTCTGCTAGAGGTGAGTCAAAGACAACCGGACATCACGTGGCCAGGCGTGGACAGCTGGGAGATAGATCGGTGTCCGGTGAGCGGTCAAACAAACACCAGCCGGCAGCGCTAGAAGGAGGGACCTGGCACACACGCGCCAAGTCTGTGCCGGCCGGGGGCGAGCGTGGTGTCACGTGGTCAGATGGTGCCACGTGGTCAGATGGCGTGACGTGGTCAGATGGCGTGACGTGGTCAGACGACGTGTTGTCCGACGGGGAGTGTGATGTCAGCACTTTGGGCGCACCGTCTCCCTTCACGCCACACACCGGACGACGCAGCGCCCCCGTGTTCACCAGGAGAGGGTTCGGAACAAAAGACTTCTGGAACTACGGCTACACCAGCATCAACAAACACCTGAAGCAAGGGGCCGCTCAGCATGGCCGGCCACAGTCTCCTGGGCGGGAGTCAGGCAGGGGGGGCGTGTGGGGCGGCGGGCGGGTGGCAGACACACCCAGCTCTGGCCGCGCCAGGTCCCAGACATTGGGAGCTGTAGGGAGCAGGCTGATCAGGACACTACAGGGCACGGTGGGGAGGGTGGGGAAACGGGGCGGGGGGAGACAGAAAAGCGAGAGGGGCGTGCCTGTCATCAGTGACGGCGTACAGGTGGCGGACGATCATCGGCGTCCAAGAACGGTGTCACTGTCCACGGGGGTCAAAGATTACTTCAGTGACCACGACACAGACTCCAGGCCGCGCGCTCTGCTACATCAGAATGACGTCATGACCCCAAGCTCTGTGCCTCGCGCCACGGCGGGCCAAACAGCAACAGTCGGCGCCGAGGACGGAACAGGCGACATGGGAAAGCTTCTGGAAGAATCAGTGGGCAAACTTGTGGACTTGGGAAGCGGTGTCCGGACATACGGCAGTCTGGGGCAGTTATCTCCCGCCGCCGGCAAGGAGCCGTGGCTCGGGGGTGACCTGGTCAAACTGCGGGTGGCGCAGTCGGTGCGGGAGTTGGGCGGCGGTCTCACTCCGGCCGGGAAACAGAAAGTGAAAGATCTGGACCGCGGCGACGGGGGGAGTGGCAGTGACGAGGACGACGAGGAGAAAGAAAAAGACGACACAGAGAGTAATGAGAGGACTGGCCTACTGGGCGAGAGGTCGGAAGATTCGTGGTCGGGGAAAGAGGTGAAGACGGCCGTCTACCTCCGCCGCTGGTACCTTCTCTTCCTCTTCTCTTTCTCCGCCCTCGTCTGGAACGCCGTGTGGTCAACGTGGGGGCCCATCGCCCAGTCTGCCAAGCTGGTCTACGGCTGGACGGACAGCAACATCGCAATGTTCACCTGGCTCGGCAACGCCCCCTTCCTGGTCACCATGTTCCCCATCGCCTACCTGATGGACGTTAAGGGTACGTTTGTTACTGTCGTCTACCTGATGGACGTTAAGGGTACGTTTGTTACTGTCGTCTACCTGATGGACGTTAAGGGTATGTGTGTTACTGTCGTCTACCTAATGGACGTTAAGGGTATGTGTGTTACTGTCGTCTGACGGACGTTAAGGGTATGTTTGTTACTGTCGTCTACCTGATGGACGTTAAGGGTATGTTTGTTACTGTCGTCTACCTGATGGACCCAAAAGGTACGTTTGTTACTATCGCCTAGAGGCCACCCTGTGCACTCTGCCAATCTCTTTCATTCATGACGGAGTAGGAGCCAGCTAAATTTGTCACTATGGAGAAGCTAAAGCCATTATTGGCACGATTTGACTGAATTCATCAACGTAATTCTATTGCTACCTTCAGATCCAACACATTAACATTTGTTTACAAGGTCATGAGTGGAATCGGTCGACTGTTCCAAAACGGTAGCTCTTGTCCCTTCATGTAGAGAGATCTGCCTGCTCCAGACTTTCTTCCCGGGAACTCGATTGGCAGAGAGCTCCTGGTGTTATGTGCACAACAGAGGGGGGGGGGGGTTCTTTAGTAAACGTCCACCTTAGTGAGTTATACGATTTCTTTCAATTTGTGTGCAGCAGTCGTTGAAAACATACCCATTATAATTTATATTTACAAACAACCCTCCAAAAACACAACAAAGAAAAACCCCCAGTAGTTTCTTTAAAGATGGTGGGTGTGTGAATTCTCGTCCATGACACTGAAACGTAACCAAACACCCCCCCTTCCCCTTCCCTCCCCTCCCACTCCCTTCCTCCCCTCCCCCTCCTCCCCACTCCCCTCCCCCTCCTCCCACTCCCTCCCTCCCTTAGGCATGCGTGTGTCGATGGTGCTGTGTTGCGGCCTCACGTTCCTGGGGGCGGGGCTACGCTGTGTGCCGGCAGACGTCGACACAGCCACCTGGTGAGTACACACGGCCACCTGGTGAGTACACACGGCCACCTGGTGAGTACACACGGCCCCTGGTGAGTACACACGGCTACCTGGTGAGTACACACCAAAGGTAGACAATCTGGTGAGTACACACCAAAGGTAGACAATCTGGTGAGTACACACCAAAGGTAGACAATCTGGTGAGTACACATCAAAGGCAGACAATCTGGTGAGTACACACCAAAGGTAGACAATCTGGTGAGTACACACCAAAGGTAGACAATCGGGTGAGTACACACCAAAGGTAGCAGTAGCTAGTAGACAATCTTTGGTCACATGTCTCTTTCACCCGAAGTCTTTCCCGCCGCCATGCACAGATAGTGCAGTAGAGGAACGACAAAAATACTCGAAGAAAGGAAAAAATTGCAAAAGAAACAAAAAGTATCGGGATGTACATAGAATTAGTTCACTTTCAACATACTAAAAATGTACATTCACGCTTTAATGGGAAATGCTATTTTTAGCTCATGGCGTCATCGGGGTCAACTTTATAAAAAATATATTTTAGAACATAGTCATGTTGCACCTCGTTTGAAAGCTCGACAAAAATACTGTTTGAATATGTAATAATGAAAAAGTTTGGAGGCCAAATAGGAACACAAACACACCAAATGGAATTTCACAACAGTAGATCGTGCACGTTCATCATATCTGGTATTT